TGGTTTGGTCCTTTTTATTTTGTGTTAAAGTGAAGTTAAAGTGAATATTTTAATACGCAAACGTCAGTTGGACCCGCCCGGGCTCATACAACTTCCTAATTGGACGATATCAATTAAAATCCTTGCCATGGGATGGACTATTCTCATCCAGCAAATATTTTTCACATCCGGACATGTTTTTTCACATTTTTAAAAACAATACACACGATACCACCTGGTCATGTGGTCAAAGCAACAATAATTAATTACTCTTTTTGTGTTTCTTATAGATCAGGGATGTCAAAGCCAACACATCAGAGGCCAAACTGTCACGTGGGGAAATGAAGAAAAAGGGAACCCAAAATGCAGGACTGAAAATCAAATGTAATTTAATAAAAATCTAAATCCAGCGAGACAAAAATCCAGAACTGAAAAACTAGACAAACTTGGTTGAGACAGTGGACGGACAACAAGTGGGGAAAAGCACACGGTATATATACACACAGGAGACACAGGTGGATCACATTAGGGCGGGGCTAACAATCAACAGGACACACAGGAATCAGGAAAACTCAAAATACAAGAGAACTAAAAGTAAATAAAACCAGGTTAAAATAATCAAAAAGTCCACACCATGACACAAACAACCAGATTGGGCACAAGCCGAGGACCAGACCGGTTCACTGTTTATTAAAACATATTCAAATGATGTATATAACCATTGAACCAAGACCTAACAGTTAATTTAATGATTACATTAATAATCCTAAATGTTTTTGGCTCTGTCAGTCATAGCAAGTGAAAACATTTGTCAACAGCTCAGACACAAAAACAAACTTTTGGTATTTTCTTATGTCTCTTTGCGGCCTGTTCTAATATTGATCAAATATCATCCCGGGGCCAAGATAATTCCATTGCGGGCCGGATCTAGCCCCCGGGCCATGACTTTGACACCCATGATATAGATGTTTCTTCTGATAAACTTAAACATGTGAGGCTGTGTGTGATCAGAGCATGTTTAACGGATTTATTTGTGATGATTTTCTCCTGGTGGCTTCCTCCGTCTGCGCTGCCTCTGCTCACACTCAGGCGTTTGTCACAGAGACAGATGTGATTTCAGTTTCTGCATTCAACCAATTTCTGCAATTCCAAATTGAAGAGGGGAAGAAACACAGTGTCCTGATGTGCTAGGCCTTTGAGCGAGGGTTGGAAATAAAAACCAGCTTTAGTAAAGAATACACGTTTTAAGATCATGATAGTATATGCTTTTTTAAACGTATATTTATTTGATCTTTGAATGATGATGGCAATAGTTGTCCGATGTGGCCAAAATAAGTGTGCGTGTGTGTGTTTTTTTTTACTTTTTAATGGATATGTAGTGTTTAAGTTGTTGAAAATGTATTACAGTGATAGAAAATAAAAAATATCATATACTGTTTCTAACCGCAGACATGTAAGACCAGGGCTGGAAAAAAAGGACAGACATTTTTGAACACTTAAAGACGCTTTAACACATTGCAATATTCATTCACTCTCGTAGTAACAGGTCAATCTTTCAGTCTGTAATGATTTATGTCAAACCAAATCAGAAAAGAAGGAGATTTGAAGTTTTTTAAGCTGTAAATGTGGGAGGGAACGGTTTAATCTGTTGTTTGTTGTATAGACACATCTCCCACTGCATCATATGGAGGCCAGTAGGGCAGCATAGGAATCAACACAGCCTAAAAATCAGAGAAGCAGCCAGTCCAAAAGTAGGACATAAAGTAGGGCGGCCTCTGCGTTCCCCAAAGGTTGCTCCCATCGCTGCTGCCCCTAAGTGGTTTATAAATTCCCTCAAATGCATCACACACACTTGGTTTCCATTTGATAGAGTCCATAGCCCACCATTACTGATATTCCTGGTTGGCCTACTTCAAATGGGGTCCTCTACCGAGCCATCTGTGCGGAGGATAAAAAGCAGATCCTAATTTGAGCCTCAAGAAACTGTATCGTCAGCGCGCTAATGGTGTGAAGGCCACTGGTGTTTTCTGCGCAAGACTCGTTAAAAAAAGGGGAACTATTACTGCCACTGGAAATATCATGTTTGTTATGGTGTTGCAGAGAAGCAGTTTAAAATACAATACTATAACTTTAAATATGCTATAAGACCCTTCACTGTATACAATTGATACATCATGGCTTGTGACAGAAAGGTATTCAATTTACCTTTTCAAAAATGCTAAAAAGCTTGAAATTCTGAAAGACGTGCACAGTAAGAAAGGTCCATTTTATTCTTATTTGCTAAATTAAAACTCTTCTCCAAATTTCCTGCTAGTCAATTAATCAATTAGCTGAAAAAATCTAATTCTGTCACCAATCGTTCACGTTTAGATAAATGTCCAAGAATTGAACTCAAAGGCCCAGCATCTGGACTCTCACTTCATTCACGGTTAGCTTTCATTTTTATAACATTGTCCATTATTGAATACTTTAATATTAATCACAATATTTAACATTATTCATTGATCCATGGATATTCTGTAAATTATGATAATATTGGAATCTAAATCCATTGTCAGAAAAATCTATCCCTGAGTTTCAAAATATTGACATAGACGTTTCAAGTCTTTAACTGCAGTTGTCTCAGAGGACTTTACGTCGTTGCTGATTGCTCAACATCAGATTAGAGAACAGTCTTTTCCAGTTGGTTCAATCCAAGCTCAACTGTTCTCATTTTCTTTGGAAAAAAACACAACCAAAAAATAATATCCAAACCCATAATCATTAAAAGTAATTATTAGTGTGATGTACTTTAAAGAAACACGTAAACAAAGCATTGATCAAAGCATTGGGACATGATCTATCGTTAAGAGTTAAATATCAATAACCGGAGTACCACCATAATGTGATACTTATGTGAGCCATGTATTGTGTTTTGTATGGTATCGTGAAGGACAGAGAAACTCCCGGCCCCATGGCATTTAATAACTGTTTGAAATAAGCAGGATTTAATTTATGAATCAAATCGTAGTTCTGAATCCAGCTATAACTGAGAAGCCCCAAAGGCATCTGTAATAACAATAGAAAGGATAGAAAGGAACAAGTGAACGAATAGTATTTCTTCACTTTTGCCTCATTTGAGTTTCTATATTTAAACTGCCAGCCTCGGTGTTAATGGTTCAATGACCCATGGCCAATTAGGCAGAAGTTTACATAACATGACACAGCCTGTTGGTTCTATCTGAAAAACAGAGGCAGTTCCATCCCTTCCTCTCCTCGTCTCCCTCCCAGTGGTACGAGAGCAGCTCCCTCAGCTCCTCATGGGGAGACAACAGTGTTTTTGCTCAGCCGCACAACAATTCAGTCTGTGAAGTAAAAGGTTCGGGACACATATGGCCTACCCTGGTCTTACCGTACCATAGTACTCATTTCATTTCATACTAAGGTCTGGATTTGCTCCATTGACTCCGTTAACAGGTGGGAGGGGTTAACTCTTTTTGCAGATTGAAACGATTGGATCTGAGTTTACCGTGACGTTTGTAATGCGCACGTGCGATTGAGGCATTTAGCATTTAGCCTAGCTTTAGCCTTTAACCTTTAGCCATCTCCTTTGTCACTACCGGAGCCCGTGGGGAGTAGAGCCACAACATCTTTGCGGTGATGAAACTGGCAAAACATTCCTCTCGCTCCAGCTTCAAGTTATTGATTTTCGCCACCATTGCCAAATTACAACTAGTAAGTTTGGCGCAAACTCTTGACGTCACCGACACTGACCCACAACACCCGCTAAGGAATGTAAACATAGAAATATTATTGAAAACATTTTTCACGGATGTTTTCATTTGACTTCTGTTTATAATTATGCTCGAACATAATACTATTTTATTACTTAATTTAATTACTTTACAAAGGATTTCCAGTTATAGAATATCTACATACCTGTAATTCCCAGAAAATGACCAGATATTCTCGGTAATATTTCCACCCCATTTTTCACCACGTTTACCTTCTTTTCTTTACTTATCTGTTGTGCTTTTATTGTTATTTGTGGGAATTTTATGAATATTTTTTGTGTAGATGCTAAGTCTCTTTTTTTAACTGCTCCCATCTCTGGAGTAAGAGAAAAATGCCCCAAAAAATAACAGTGGTAAAGCGCTTTGTGACTCTGGTCTGTGAAAGGCGCTACATAAATAAACATTACTTACATACTGGGTACAAGTAAAGTCACCTTGAACCTTGAACCCCTTTGCAACCCTAAATCTACATGTATCAAAAAAATATATATATATACACCCACCCCAGCTCAGATACTGCACTTATACACAACTGTTTTTAATGCACTGTGACTTAATTGATGCACCAAACCCTTTTTTATTTTATCTATTTTTATTTATTTTACCAACTGTCTATTTTAATCTGTTTTTAACCCGTCACATCCACGGACTGCAAGATAAATAGTCCTCGTTTTTCACAGTTAATTTGTCTTAAATTCTTAAATGTAGTTTGTGCATTGCTGTTCACCTGGTGTCCCTCTGTTTCATGGATGCGCTGGTGGGACTCCAAACCCCGACTCCCTGGACCTGAGTTCTGGTCCACAGCCGTTGGGAGTTGGCGGTTCTGTGACGCCCCTCGAGACGACTGTTGTTGTGATTTTGCGCGATACAAATAAAATTGATTTGATTTGATCTTTTAATTGTGATTTTTTTGTTGTTGTGATAAAACATAAACATATATTTTTCTAACCCACAGTATATTGTTATTTCATCACCAGCTGACATGACTCACATATGTTTCCCTTCTGTGGCACATCACGTTCCTATTCCTGTCACAAATCAGAAGCTGAGGCATACTCCGAGATCTTCATTTTAATAAAGGGGGCAAAGTTAGTGAAGCGCACCGAGCCAGCCATGCACTGCTGATATCTCTCCCCCAGCGATTGGGTGCATCCAGATAACAAGACGGAGCAGGAGGAATGAGGATAAAAGCATGCACACTGACGACACGGGAGCAGATATTTATCATTGGACGTGCTGTTGACTCACCGTTCTTGTCTGCGCGTCGGAAAATCTGTGGAAAAATAAGAGAAGAGATGCAGAATACAGCGTTACACAAAGGTTTCACAGACGCAGTGGTTACAACTTCATGTGCGAAGAGGAGCGTTCTCAGACTTTTAGATCGAAATGTTCCGATTTTTTTAAGCTTCTATATGTAATTTGTTTCTATGTCATTATTTGCATGTGTTTTATTTGTCTTTCTATGTTTTGTTTTTGAAATGAGCTCAGTTCTACCGGTAACTCCCTTGGTTTTCCACCGGAGAAGAGCGAGTTGTAGTTACCATAGCAACATGTACATATATTTGTAGTTGTACCAGTTTTAGCACTCGTAAATCGTCTTAAAACACATTGGATTATAACACGGTGAGTTGTGTGGTCCTTTGTTTTTATATATTTAATTGTTTTTAGTTTTTTTTTTTAATTGGATAACGGGTATTTTTACATGGTTTTATTACATTAATTGTTTTTACTGCGTACATAATGTTTTACTTTTTTTAAACGTATAAAAGATGGCAAACCTGTATATTTAAATGTGTTAATTGTATCTCCGTGCAGCACTCTGGAAATAAATAAAGTTGATTGGATTGGATAGAAAGTAAGTAAAGGTAAAAAATCTTATGAACTTGGAATTAAACTGATGAAAAACGTTTTGGGAATTTTTCAGAATCCAATTGATTTGAATGGGAGCTGTCAAAAAGACTGCTCTGGGAGTTCCAGAAGTTTCAGAAGTCTGGGTGGTCTAGTCTTAAGAGATTTGAGCTATTTTAATAATTATATTAATTTACTCAAAGTGAAATCGAATGAAGGATATTCATTGTGAGAAATCAAGCAGCACATGAATTATACTTACAATATCCTCACAGTCTGTACAAGACTTTTATAAAATGTATTTGGGGAAAGAAATTAAAAAATTGTTTTGAAACTTGAATATTGAGCGGAAAGATAAAAAAAAATATTTTAAAGGGCAAAGTCTGTCTTTGGTGACTTTAATGAAAACCAATTTAAAATCGAAATTGTCCAAAGCAGGAAATAAAATCAAGATTTGACTTTTTTACCATATGGCCCAGCCCTAGTTGCCACCTATTTCTGTCTTCTGCTCTGCAATTATGATTAGGTTTGTATAATGTCACATAGTAATGTTAAACCATAAAAACATGACATGAAAATTAATGCTTGTCAAACATCCACAACAGGTGGGGCAATCATTTTTTCAACCTGGTCAACTGCATCTCATCATAATCTCATCATAATTTGAGGACAAAAAAAGGTGGGGATGTAGGTGTCGTGACGTCAAGAGTTTGTTAATATTTTTTTATTTAACTGTTTGAATATAACAATCACATCCCACAGCAGTACCTACAGTTAATGATGATTAAATAAGTATTTAATATTTTAAAAAAAAAACTCAATTAGTTGCAAATAACTATTTATAAAACATTCCTAGAACAATCACGTCAGAGATGGAAAAAAAAGTACTTCAAACTCAACTATTCTATTGTAGTTTTGTGTCCCATGAAAAACAGGCATGATGACACTTAACTTGACTAAAAACTCCAACTCCCGGCTGAGCTTTCATTCCCGTGAGAAAATTCCTTGGATTAAGAACAAAACATCGGGAGAACCTGCTATGACTGAGAGCGTGCACAAACTTCTTTTTGACAAGATTTAGATTCACGCACTCACTCTAGGAATTCTAAAACTGTGAGCAAAGCACTGGGATATCCAATCTCGTTGTTTGTTGATCTACACATGTGACTTCTCCAAAAAAACTGAAAAAAAGATCTGGCTTAAAACCAGGTCATGGATTTCCAAAATGTGGGCAAAGCATTTGAATATATGATTTTTTTGTTTTGTCCATATTTGGTTTACTAAAACAGGTTGTGAGAAGCCATAGATTGTCAAATGTATGTGTCATTTATGCTGCTTTTCCATAATCACGGTACGGCACCGGACGGCAAGGTTATTTTGCATTTCCACTAGGGTTAAGCTTGGGATCAGGGTTTTTTGTACCACCTCGACCATGGTTCCAACTGTACCGAAGCAACACCACGACGTGACATCAGCCGACTGCCTTATACTGATTGGTCAACGACATTCAACTACATTCACCTGGTCTAGTCAAAGTCACCTCCATCATGGACAACACCTCCCACCCTGCACAGGACTGAGGAGGAGCTGAGGAGCTCCTTCAGTGGAAGACTGAGCGCTACCGCAGGGCCTTTATCCCCACCGCTGTCAGACTGTACAACAAGTCACTTTAAGTCACTGTACTGTATTTAGACTGAAAAACCTGCACTGTATTGACAATGCCACTTTTTAAATCAACACTTTTTTATTGTACATAATATCCTGCATTTAACATGTTTGCACATTTCTTTCTTTGTGCACAATCTTAAGTGTTTCTATCCATGCCATACCCAAATGTCTTTGCTTATTTAAAAACACATCTTACATGTCACATGCTTGTGTGATGCATCATAGTAAAGCTAGTAAAGCCGCGGACCCTCCCCGCACCCACGAAGTAATCGCCCCCCACACACACCCACTGTTGTTGATGGAGCTAGCGTCTCCCAATATGGATAATACATATAGAACCGGGAAGCGCGGAGGAACGGGACTTTCTTTTGGCTGTTTCGCTGTGTAAGCAGTAACCGGTGACGAAGACGAGGAAGCTTCAGGTTAGCTCCGCCGCTTGTTGTGCTAACTCAGCTGTCTGTGCTAACGGAGACCTGTAGATTTCTCACGAAAGTGGGGGCCAGTGGTCCACTGTGATTGGTCACAATCTGAGACCAGAAACACATTCTCTTCCTTGTTTCATCAAAACTCGATCTAAAATATAATGTCACGCCAGCACAAACCTGCGCTACTTTTTCTTCAAAAGGACGTTTATCCCGATGCACTGCATGGACATGGATAGCATTTTCGTAATTAATACAAAAACAAAGTCAGTTAGTGCAGCTTTAAGTAAAGATATACTAAAATAATGTATGCCATTCCTATTTCACTCTGCATCCTTTGAAGTTTTGGAAAAAAAATCTATTATTTTAAAGGCCCTAAAAAGGCATACTTCCTTGTAAGCTCACAATATTCAAACCCTATGGTCCTTGTGTTGTTGACAACTTTTGTCTAAAGTTTCAGACTTTAGTTGCCATCAGGAACCAAAATGGCATACTTTGTGCAAAATTGCTTTACTGACATTTCATCCTTTTTTTTAATTTTTGGTACTTATAAGTAACTAATGTCTGTGATTTTTTTTCGTACATTTTTTGAAAGTTCTATTTTTAGTAATGAAAATGCATATAATATACTCTATGGGCTGCTTCGAGAGCGTCTCTCTCCCTGCCTTTACGCACGCTTCCAGAGGAAGACTTCAACAGAGTTCCCCATGTCCCACCCATTGCTAGAAAGCTTTCCCTGTTGGCTATTTAGACATGTCAATCATTCGGCAAAAGAACACTTCCCTAGCCGTCAGGCTAACAACAAGTACAAACTGACCGTGCGCAAAAGGTGTTCGCTTGATTTATTCACAGGGCTGTTGTAGACGAACGCGGATCTCCTCAAGGAAGGGCTCATTTTGTAGCTAACGAGTTGGGGAACATGAGCATACCCTGTGTTTGGATGATAAACAAAACTGAAAGTCCGCTAACAGTGAAAAAGGAGCGTTTGTGTTCTTTCAGAAGGTTTTTTGTTCAAAATACATCTGCAATTGCCAGCAGAACATTTTAAAAATAAAAACGGCCCGCGGGCGGGACGGGGGGTGTCAAAAGGTTCAGACAGAAGACGTGTCTTATTGTCGTTGGTAGAGACAGCACGAACACGAACAAAGATGTTACAAAATGCCAGTGATAATATACAGCAGGAGGAATGAGACCTATCAGCTTCCGCCGCGATGCCAGTAGCTTGGCCTCAGAAATCTAAACATTCTGTGAAAAGTACTGGCTTGTGCATATGGTTAGATTGATGAGTTAGAACTTTCAATCTATCAATCAAATTTTATTTATAAAGCGCTTTTCATATAAACAATGCAACACAAAGTGCCCAGCTCTGAACCCCACCTCCCCACAGACCCCCCCCAAAAACCACATTTATTATTATATATACACCCACATGCGTGTACACACACACGCACACACACACACACGCGCACACACACACACACACACACACACACACACACACACACACATATGAAGTCACATCAGGTAAAATAGGTAAAACTATAAAAAGATAGATAAAGGGCTGAGTGCAGATGTAACCAGCTGAAGAAGCAACTTTAACCACAGTTGCTTCAAAGTGTCATGAAATCTCTAAAGTATCAAGACTTTGTTTCAATCATTTGTCTGTACGCATTCAGAAAAAGGGTTCACAAGCAAAAGTTACGATTTCCTACAATATACTTTTACTTCTATTTACATTACATACATTATATTTGTCAGTAAATCAGTATAACCTCAACAAATTTATGAACAAGGATGGAGACATATTTGCTAAATACAAAAAGGTTTTATTTTTGGTCAAAACACAATCAGAGCACCAGGGTCTCTCATAGCACCAGTCCCTCACTGATCTTCCTGCAGGTGGTGGGTCCACAGGATGATGGCTTCTCCGTCATCGACGAGATGACCTTGGTCTTTCAGCGGGGGCTTCAGGCAATGTGAGGTTAAGTGTCTTGCCCAGGGACACAACGACAGCAGACATCAGTGGGAGCAGATGACATGGGTTGTGGTGGGTTCGAGCTGAGTTGTAGTGCGCTACAACTCAGCTACTGTTGCCCCAAGCTCGAAAATATATCTATTAATATTATTTATTCTTTAAATTAAAACAATTATTTAAACTGTTCAGTATTTGAAATCACAATACTAAGTTACTATGGTTACTATGGAAACGCACTCTGTTAGTAACTTGTTGCCATAGCTACTTGGTTACCATGGCGATGATGTCATAAAGCTAATGACATCACCACATTCTTCTAGGGTAGGTGTTGAACAATACGACCAGTGTGCTTGGTACCTG